CTCCGACGTGCAGCCGCCTTGCATTCAGCACTGCCCGGGAAAGGGAGCGACACTAGACTAAGTGCGGCGATAGCTAGCGATGCTAAGTATGGTTGCTACAGGGGCACACCTATTTCTAAGCTGAGAACACGTGCCTTGTCGTTCACTCACGTGTGCACTAGCACTCTTTGCTAATAGCAATATGCCTTGACCGCCTTAACATACTGGTGTGCTTGTTCAGCAGTGATCTTGCCCAGTGACCCTATTTCACGCGCTCGTGGGCTGTGGCATCAGGCTTTCAGGTCACGCGTTGAGTCAGGGATAAAAACCGACCCTCAAAATGTACCGAGGTCCGACCGACGCACAAACTTCGCGCGGGTATTGTAGACCAATCTGCTTCTGAATGATGCTCAGAATGACTGGCCAGATAAGTCGTTGCTTGTGCGCGCAGAGAAGGCCTTGGAAAACTCTATGCATTGGCTATTTCTTACCTACAAAACGGTTTCCCTTAGCTCATTTGTGTACGGGGGAGTGCGCAAGCCTGTACCTTTGGGGATCGAAGAATTCCTTCTCTTTGATCCCGGACCGCATGACCCTGTCATACGTCACGATGGATGGATATTCACTTCGCTTATTCAGATCTTGTACTTAAGCCTACCTGCTTAGCGGGACCACTCTCCAACCGCCTTTTCTTAGACGTTCGTCCTACTAGATCATGGCAAGAGATGTTCCAACGAGCCGTAGAGCGGTCTTACTCGCCATTTTCATCGCGTTCGGTGAGTTAACTCTCGTCACTGCCATCCAGTACTCATTGAACTCTTCTTTGCAGGAGGTGCGCGGTTTTCATATACAGACCATAAAACGTACGTCGTTTAATAGCAACTATAAAGCTCCCACTTCTTTGCTTACATGGCCAGTAGATTGACACCTACGGTGATACAGGCTTCCTGTTTGGGTATGATATGGGCGTCATTTCCGTATGTACTCATACTTCCTTAATCCTCGGCACATCCGAGTCTAAATTGTTCGTCTACTCTAGGGATGTCTGATTATGCCAGACTTTATTCGCCGATTCGGCCAAGAAGGAATGGATGGTCAGTACTACCTGTCAAGTTCGAGACAATCGATAATCGTTTCTCTTCTGTCGGCTGGGTAAGACTACGATATTTGGTTCTACTCTGTGCTGACATTCACACCTGTCGTAGCACGTTCTGGTGGGGGAACTATATTTTTTTTGCTCTTATAATAATCTGACGATGCTTAAAGTGGAGCCATCGCTCAAGCGTTCACATCTGATCGGCTTGGACGCCGTGGATCCATTCTGTTCTGGTCGGCTATCTTTACTGTCGGCGTGGCTATCCAAACTGGCACGACATACTCTCTTGTTCAGTTGGTAATAGGGCGTTATATCGCAGGCTTAGGTGTCGGTTCATTATCAGGTCGGTGCTGATGTCAGGATAAGACTCTGTGAATCTAACTACATCTATTCAGCTATTGTGCCCCTGTACAACGGAGAAACGGCACCGAAAGCTATTCGTGGTACGATCTTGGTCATCTACCAAGTCCAAATTATCTCGGGGTCCGTGAAGTCTTCATCCTCCATCAGAACACTCGCTAACGGTTGCTATCTAGCATATTTTTGAGTTACGTGCTTGAACTCGGAAGTCACACAATCAACAACTCTGCGTCTTGGCGACTCCCTATCGGATTGCAAATGGTCTGGGGCATCATACTTTTGTCTGGAATATTTTTCCTTCCAGAATCTCCGTACGTGCAATGCTGAAAATTTCTCATTTCAAACTGACGAATTTGACCTTTACTAGCCGACACCTTCTAGGAACTGGACGAGGTAACGAAGCGCGCAAGGTAGTTGCAGAACTCAACGGAGTTTCTGAGGACGACTCTCTTGTCATTGAAATTGTCGAGGGACTCGATTTTGCTATCAGAGCAGAGAATGAGGGTGGCAAAGCGACTTGGTTAGAATGTTTCTCCACGAGAAATGCACTATGGCGTCGAACAATCAATGGCATGATGCTTCAATTTATTCAGCAGCTTAACGGCCAGAACTTTTACTGTAAGATCCCTCATGCTGATTTATTTTTGATTTATAATGACAATTGTCGACAGACTACTATGGCGACACCTTCTTTCAGAGTGCAGGTGCAGGGCGAGTCTTGAATTTCTCCATTTAATGCAATTTAGCTCATGTAATGTCAGGCTTTCACCTTATATCATCCAGACGGTTCTTGGTGCTGTGTCGGTTTTTGGAACTCTCCCCGCACTGTACTTCATCGAGGCTTGGGGTCGCCGAAAGGTATTCCTTCTTCTGTTAGACGATAAGAGGAGAAATTTACTTTTTCCTCTAGTCCCTTCTACTTGGCGCAGCTGTGCAAGCTGTCTGTGCATTAATCGTTCGTGCACACCATCCGTTGACAAACAGTGTTGGACTGATACTTCTACTAGGTTGCTGTGGTGGGGCATACCACTCTTGCGCCTACCGGAACACCAACTTCGGCACTTACTGCTCGTAATAGAGCTGGGGGCGACGTCGTTATTGCTTTTGCAGTATTTCAAGTGTTCAGCTTCGGTACGACTTGGGGACCTACTCCGTGGGTGTACCTTGGGGAGTCTTTCCCTCTTCGAGTACGCCCCAAGTCAATTGCTCTGGGCAGCGCGACAAGTACGATTGCTCCATTTTCACTATTTGAATTCGTTACTCACGCTTGTCCAAGACTGGTTCTGGAACTTCATGCTTTCATTCTTCTCTCCAAGGATTGTCGATCGGTGAGTCAGCCAAATGTTTTGAAGATATTTCTCGGTGTCTGAACACCTTACTAGGATTGGTCCAATGATAATGATGGTCTTCTTCGGCATGCTTGTCTTTGGATACATTTACGTGTATTTTGCCATTCCTGAGACCAAAGGTTTAACTTTAGAAGAGGTAATAATTCATTGCACGTTCTAAATTGCTGCCCATCTAATGAACAACTAGGTGGATGAGTTGTACCGCTCTGGCATTCCGCCCTGGCGATCAGTAGGCTGGCGACCGAGTGAGAAGCATCATCATGAAGTGCATGAGAAAGGAACTTTGGACTCGGTGGAGAAACCCTGAAGATATATATGCATCGCAATACTACGTATTGATATGATAGTGCCCATGTACTTGTACGCTGACCATGTTATTCTAAACGATGAGTAAGTTATGTTTTTTTCACAGACTTTGTTTCCGATGAGGGAAGACAGTATAGAATGAGGCAGGTATCAACAATAACAAGGCATGGCGATAGTAACTATAGGGCTACAACTGCGAAGTAGGACGTGCACCATCCGGATCCACTTACAAGCTGGGATTCACGTTGTTTGCGATGCCTACTAGTGATTGACCAGAACGATCAGATCTAGACTTAGAAAGTGCTCATAGTACTCACTTCATACTGAACTGCAGTCTGCACAGAAAGTTTCACCGATTCGAGGCGTCTACAGACACAGCAGAAACATTAGTGAACAAATCGACTTTGAGAGACGTGTCAGGATCAGATTAGCTTGAAGGTGAAACAGGAGGAATTTGGGTCGTGATAGAGTCCAGGAGCGTCATGATGCATCATGTGCTATGTACGCCCTCCATCGCAATTCGGGAAGAGTGTCCACGAGTTATTTTGGACTCGGAAGTAGTCCCCATGCGTACTCAAGTCTGCCTGCAAGGTGACCTTGAGCGAATCCAAGATGACAGTGGGACAGGAGCCAGCGGCCTAAGCCTAAAGTAAAGCAGGCAGGCTGCGATGATGACGGCTAAGTACGAACATGGTCTAGTGACGTTAATTATAAGTTACGTAGTCATCTGGGTTTGATGTAGATTTGGCAGGCGAAGCGCGGTGTTTGAAATGAAGTTCGAGTTGTGCGAAAGAAGAGTTTACTGAAAGGGTCACTGGTAGATTGTCGATGGCTTCTACATCAGGAAAATTTGGTAATATCAGATCAGAAATTCACGAGATTACATGCAAAAACAAAGGTAGATAAAGTAATATACAAGAAAAACAAACTGAAATCCAAGGATAAAATATGACAAAAAACCTACAATTCAGATGAAAATAGGTCTTGTCATGCAAGTGCACCAGCATTTCTCGACCGAATGGTAACCGATGGCATCACATTGTAATCCAGTGCATCACAATGCTTGGCCTTAAAGGAAGCTTATGTAAGTGAGCCATCTGAAATTTTTTCGTCAAGTTCAACTTTCTACCGCTACTTCCCTTTCAACCACTACCACCGCTATTATTATTATTTTGCCCTCTCACTTTTTAGGCCCTCCTCACTCAAGGTCACTCCGTGGTTCTTCGTCATGGTCCCTCCTCAATCCTGGTCCTTCGTCGTGGTTGTGGTCCTTCCTCGCGGTCCTGGTCCTTTCTCGTGGTCCTGGTTCTTCCTCACGGTCTTGGTTCTTCCTCGCGGTCCTGGTCCTTCCTCATGGTTGTGGCCCTTCGTGGATCTGGATCTGGACCCTACTTCCTTGTCTATCCTCTTTTCTTATCTCCTTGTTGCTTCCATTTATTGTAGAATTACCTATGTATATTTGCTACTTCTTTTTTTATCAAAAATTTCAAAAAACCAAACCAACAAATGAGTGAAAAAATTGTGTGCAGCCCAGCATTAGCAAACTATGTAACAGCTGATAGCGCTGACAAGTGATTGCAAACATTTGCCGGTTTGGTGATAATTGGCAAGTAATTGCAAATAGTCTGTCATAATTGTACTGTTGGCAGTGTTCATCCAACTTAGTCCAGGTATATAAAGCTTTATCTTTTGAACTGCAATTTTGATGGATATTATACAAATGTTAGGCCAGGTAAAGCTTCACAAAACTTTATCATTTTCGTGTCAGTTACCTGATGTAGAGCAGCACACAATGCCCGCAGAACCCCTACTCCAACGATAATCAACAAAAAATGACCGTAAATTTGAAGTAACTGCGACTGCCAGTGGGGTTACAAAAGTCATGAAAAGTAGTAGTCGGCTGAAAGCTAGAGAAATGGGAGGACAAGAGTGGCATATATGAGAGACCAAGTGAGAAGCATGGTAGTGACATATCAAAACGAAATTTACGAGGTACAAGAAAAGCTAGCGCCAGATTCTGTGGAAAGAGCATTGTATCTGGAAGGATCTAACAGATTCACATGGCTTTGCGATCGGGCCCTGGCAACAATGGGACAAGCCTAGTTTGTCGTATTTCTGGGCCCATGGTGCCAAAGTACCTGCAATTCCAATCTGGTTAAGTGATGGTTCATACCAACGAGAAAGTCTTATTACCTTTGACTTTCAAAACCCCAAGAATGGCTTGCTCGAACCCAGTTTGCTGCCCCATTAAGGTACTCCTTGACTAGGACGTTGACGGAAGGCCCCCATGAGGGAACCTTTGCAAGACCGTCAATAAATTGTTTCTGAACTTCAGTGTGATAATGTGCTGCCCAAGCCATCATGCTGCCACTGTCGAGGTCCAGTTCCAACATGACAATGCTGATCAAATTATGGAATTCGTTCCCAGCCACTTGCTCCTTGCTGTACGATGTCATGTCCTGTGAAGGATGTTAGCAGACTGCAAATTATGATGCCCTCAATATCACTTTACATTATCGATAAATATGAGCTCTGTGATGTAATTAGTAAGATCCATGATGATGGGATGGTAGAACACTTCATCAGGAAGGTCCATCCCCATCTCTAATATTGTTAAAGAAGGTTTTAACCAACAGTTGCGCACTGGAGCTTGATGTAGTCATCAAGACTGTGCCTACGGCCTTGCTCACGGTCGAGGGCCTCGACAACTACTGAATTAAAGTATTCATCAAATGTTTCAAGGAAGTGACGTTGAGAAGGCAGGCTTGCGGATTGGATTGCGCGAGCCCAAAATCTATGCAAAAAAGCCTTGGGCTTCAGATGTTCGTCAAGCAAGTCAGAAGCACTTGCACTTACTGTCGTGCAATTTTGCCGAGAATGCATTCGCCTTCTGGTCGTATCTTATGGGGATTATGTAGGGCATCGAGCACGATGTCCATCCTTTCCTTCGTGACTGCTTCATTCTCCATGTCGGTGTACTCCTCCACAATGAAGAATAAATTCATCAAGTCACAACTGCTTTGGAGGTGTTCTATTTTGTTCAGGAATGGAATCAGGGTTCTGCGATGAGTCAATTGCCAGAGTACAAACCTCTTGGTGCATTGGGATAAGCCAGTGCTGATAGGCGGGCTATAAGAATGTGTTAAATCACCGTCAGAATCTAGGGCTCGTGACATAGGTCGCACCAAAATCACATTTGTCGAATGCTTCTTGTGACTTAGGACTCAGGGCCTTGAAATCATGGAATGAAGCATCGACTTCAGCTTTCACATCTTCGTAATGAGGATTGATGGTACGAGGCCAGGGCCAGTTGACCATAGTGTCTGGGAGGTATATCGTCTTTGGGCGAGCATCCATGACTTCCGAAATATAGTTTCTGATGAGGAATGCAAAAGTTGAAAGAGGGGCGGATTGTCGCTGGTCCAGTCCAGAGCTTCCCGCAGAACTTATATAGTACGTGCCCAGGTCAGAATCGGCCCACTCCACATATCCATCTGCAATAAATAAATGTGGTATATAACCACGATTCTGTCAGCATCAGACTGCAAAGGTAGCAGGATCGGCCTGATGAAACATCAGAAAAATTGGTTAGTCAGAGGTTAACTAAAACGTCTTCCCTACATCGTCTTTGTCGCAAGGCTTCTTTTTGAACTAATGGCTTCTGCTTTGATAGGCCCGAATGAACGTTGAAATAGGCTGATAGGCTGGCACATATGCTTACCGGACTGCCAGCGTGATCAACCAAGTCATTAGTGTCATGTAAGTTCTGGAGTCAGTTTCAGCCTTACAAACTGGAACCTTCGTTGGTCAGATGCTGACTATAGTGCAACCCAGATTGGACTTTCCAAGCGCCCTCTGGGACGAGATATCTACACCGTTCAAATCCTGGAACCAGACACCAGCTGACGGTTGGTACTACATAGCCATACTGGCCATCATGATGGTGTTAGGAAATCACTAGAGAGGATCGTCGTGTTGCTATAATGTCTTCAGAAAAATCTTTGTGAAGGCTGAGGTGACTATACTTATCTAGTCTTAATATCCGTGACACCCGCACCGTCACAGCTTTACATCAGTAGAAGTTTTGATACTACTGTGCACCCACAACCAATTCTGAGTCGAACATGTTGTGTTTTGCGCGAATGAAATCAGAGTTCCGCGATTCGTCGAACGCTAAGGTCAAATACAAGCCCTACTAACGATAACAAGCAAGATAAGATCAATCAAGAGAATGAATGAGGACATAATGATGGGCGGTCATGAACCATATTTTTCAAGAATCAAGGTTGAAAACTGTGCCTGCTATAGTTATCCGCACCCCCCACACCCATATTATATTATATCTTTATATCTAAGAAGTAAAGTACAATGGTTTCGGAAACGTCCGAGCGCTCGCATGGCTTTCGCGTATTTCGCGTATTTCGCTTACCTCGCTTAAACCTGTTTTTGGAAATCTCGCGTGGTTTTGTCATGTGTTTTCGAGCGCCGATGTTAAGGTCGTACTCTCGTAGGATCGGATCCGAAGGACTTCGGCCTCAGCTCGTACGCTGTGCCCCTTTCCCAAGTACTGTCCCTTATTTCAAAGTACTTAACGATATCGCGTCCGAAGGTCCGGACGGGTCTCGTAGTATATCCGGATGTCTTCCGGATATCGGAAACGCGTATAAGGCTAATCCGGACGTATCCGAACTAGAAACTAACAGAGTAAAGACTACCCGAAGGTAGAGCCGAGGATATAGACTATCGGAATCTATCCGAAGTCTCGGAAGGTGACAAGAGTAAGAAGGACTCAAGTCCGGAGGACAGAAAGAGGACAAACTAAGATGATATTCGAACTGAGGTACTACAGGACATATACACGGGCTTATATACTAAGAGGTTAATGAAACGATAAGTAAGCAGAGGTCCGAAGGCTATGTACGAAGCATGTGCAAAGGTTATCAAGCACGAGTCGGAAATGAAGCATAGTCTAACGGATCAGTAATCATACCGGTAATAGGTATAATTGAAACACTGGGAATAGGAAATACCGAATAAGCTGTGTTTAACATTAAATGAATAGGAAATGAAATAGGAAGCTTATCGGATATCGGATCGGAAGCATCGGACCGGACCGGATCTCAGGGTCCGAAGTCCGGAAGAGAAGCGTGAATATATGGGATATGACAGCCGACTCAAATAGTGTTGCCCTTTGGAAACTTAGCACAACCTTGGTAACTGTGTATGTACATGGCATTAAATAATGAAAAAGATGTGTATGAGCAGGGAAAGGCAGATGTGTGATTAGATTTGAGTGTTTTCCCTACTGTAATTGTTATGGTAGTATTTTTTGTATACATAGAGCAAATAATGGAACAACATATAATACAATTACAGACAGGGGGAAAACAAATATGAGATAAAGAGATTGGGAGATGAATGACAGAAGGTTATGAGAAAATAACAAAAGGGAGAAAAAGACCACTTAAAGACTCAAAAACTGGAGAATGGGAGGACAGGAAAATGGGGATGGGAAGCTGGGAGAACCAGAGGACAGGAGGGCAGTGACTCAAATAATGTTGCCCATTGGGAACCCAGCATGATGTTAGTAATACATGTCATTAAATAATGTGTTTGAGCAGGGGGACGATGGGATTTGAGTGTTTTGCTTACTGTGATTGTTAATAGTGACTGAATATGTACATAAATTGAACAACATATAATACAACTACAGACAGGGAGATAACAAATATGGTGACAGGAGATAAGATGAGGTTGTGAAAAAATAAAAAAAGGAGACAAAGACAATGTAGACTCAAAAACTGGAGAATGGGAGGACAGGAAAATGGGAAACTGAGAGAATGGGAGATGGGAGACGGGAGAGACAATGGGAGACAGTAACATAGGACACAATGGAAGATGGGGGGCAGGGAAAAACAGGAAAATAAATACATTCAATGATACTATTACATATTTTGTAAGTTTAATTTTGTCAAACTCCTGCTCAAAGAATGTAGAACTGACTGATCTTATGTACTATGTACTTTTAGTTTTTTTGAAATGCTGCTCATAAATGTATTTTCACTATCAAGGCATGATCTTATTCAAAATACACAATTTATTAGGATGCAGCCTGAGGCCAGGAAGCCAAAGGAGGGCGCAGCCCTCCTTGGCTTTCTGTGACAAAGGAACAATGCTCATCAGGAGCCTTCAGAATTATTAGGATGAAGCTGAGGCCAGGAAGCTTAAAAAGAGCGCGAAGCGCTCTTTTTTTGCGACCTGTGCTGAAGGCAGAACAGGTGTGTGCTAGTAAGTGAATTTAGCCGCCAATTGAATATTGCTAGTGACCCCATTTACCTCGGGATACGCCTTTGGATGCCAACAGGTCAGTTTAGTGCACTGCAATTGCGCTCAAAGTTCGGTATTAGTAGTATGTAGCCATGTGGCTGGGTCAGGATTAGGTAACATCGGGAGTAGGCTTCCAAGTAACAACGCACAAACATGCCATTGGCTAGTGTCCAAGCTGCACAGGTAAACTTATAGGCTTCGATCAATGACAGTTTATAATGACATCAGCAAAAAGTTCTCATACTAACCTAAGTGTAATATCATTACAGTAACTGCGACTGCCAGTGGGGTTACAAAAGCCATGTATGAACATTGAAAAGCACTAGTCAGCTGAAAGCTAGAGACATGAGTGGCATATATGAGAGACCAAGTGAGAAGTATGGTAGTCATATATCACAACATAATTTGCGAGGTACAAGAAAAGCTGGTGCCAGATTCTGTGAAAAGAGATTTGTATCTGAACAGATCTGGTATATTCACATGGATCTGCATTTGGGGCTTGGTAACAATGGGACAAGCCTATTTTGCTGTATTTCTGGGCCCATGGTGGCAAGGTACCTGCAATTCCAATTGGGTTAAGTGATGTGGCTACCAATGAGAAATTCACATTACTTACCTCTGAGATTCGTAACTCCAAGAATGGTTTCCTCGAGCCCACATTGCTGTCTTGTCAAGATACTCTTTGACTAGGACATCAATGGAAGGTCCCCATGAAGGAACTTTTGCAAGACCATCAATGAATCGTTTCTGAACTTCGGTGTGATAGTGCGCTGCCCAGGCCATTGCACCGCTTACGTCAAGGCCGAGGTCAAACATGATGGTACTGATGATGCTATGGGCTTTGTTCCCAACTACTTGCTCTTTGTTGTATGAAATCATGTCCTGTTGAAGATCGTGAGCATACTACAAACCAAGACATCCTCAATACCAATTTACATTATCGATCAGAACTAAGTCTGTGATACATTCAGCAAGATCCATGATGATGGGATGGTATAACACTTCATCAGGAAAGTCAATTGCCATCTCCAATATTGGGAAAGAAGGTATTACACCAACAGTTTTGCACCGGAGTTGTAACTAGTCATTGAGGCTGCGCCTATGGTCTTGTCCACGGTCAAGAGCCTCAGCAACCACTGAATAAAGGTATGCAGGGAAGGTCTCGAGAAAGTGACGTTTGGAAGACAAACTTGCGGATTTGATCGCACGAGCCCAAAATCTATTTGAAACCCCATGAATTTCAGATGATCGTCAAACCATTCAGAAGTACTTACTGTCGCGCAATTTTGCCCAGAATGCATTCATCTTCTGGTCATTTCTTATGAGGATTGTGTAGAGCATCCAACACGATGTCTGCCATATTCTTTGTGAGTGCATCATTTTCGAAGTCGGTGTACTCGTCGTAAATGAAAAATAAATTCATCAAATCACAAGCAATTCGAAAGTGTTCTATTTTTTCAGAAACAGAATTAGGGTCATGTGGTGCATTAATGGCAAGAGTACGAACCTCGTGGTGCCTTGGGATAAAGCAGTGCTGTTAGGAGGGCTATAAGAAAAAATGTGTTAAATCACCGTCTGAATCTAGGGCTCGTGACATAGGTCCACTCACCAAAATCACATTTGTTGAATGCTTCTTGTGAATTAGGACTCAGGGCCTTGAAATCACGGAATGAAGCATTGACTTCAGCTTTCACATCTTCATAATGAGGATTGATGGTACGAGGCCAGGGCCAGTTAACCATAGTGTCTGGGAGGTATATTGTCTTTGGGCGAGCATCCATAGCTTCCAAAATATAATTTCTGATGAGTGCAAAAGTTGAAAGAGAGGCAGATTGTCACTGGTCCAGTCCAGAGCTTCCCGCAGGACTTATATACGTGCCCAGGTCAGAATCGGCCTACTTCACATATACATCTACAATAAATGAATGTGGTATATTGTGATTGTCTAACTACCGATGGTGGCTGTAACCATCAGCGTCAGACTGCAAAGGTAGTAGGGTCGGCCTGATGAAAGATCAGAAAATTGGTTAATCAAAAAATTAACCAAAATGTCTTCCCTACTACATCGTTTTTGTCGTGTGGCTTCTTTGTAAACTAACGGCTTCTGCTTTGATAAGAGCTCGATATGGTACATAATCACCAATCTGGTTTGTCTACTTGATAGTATCTGGAATAGGTCTGAAGGGCTTCCAGTTTCAATGAACATTGAAATGGAGTGATAGGCCAGCAGAAATGTTCACCGGACTGCCAGCATGATCAACTAAGTCACTGGTGTCACATAAGTTCTGCAGATAGGGTCAGCCTTGCAAACTGAAACCTTCGTTGGTTAGATGCTGACTATAGTGCAACCCAGATTGGACATTCCGACCGCTCTCTGGGACAAGATATCTATGCTGTTCAAATCCTGGAACCGGATACCGGCTGACAATTGGTACTACATAGCCATACTGGCCATGATGTTAGGAAGGTAGATTGGTATCACTGGAGAGGATCAGCGTGCTGCTGTAATGTCTTCAGAAAAATCTTTGTGAAGGCTGAGGTGACTATACTTATGGGTAACGATGTTCACACACCAAGTCCCCGGCTCCCATCTTCCCTAGAATTCATCATGCTCAGGCTAGTGCCATGTGCATTGACATGTAACCTAGTAATGGAGATTGACATTGGGTAAATACATGCAGTTTGTGATCCGTTCAGCTCTTGCAGTGCCACTGGGACCCCATGATTAGTGTTGCCGCAGTTTCAGCTTATGTCCGGCTTTAGCTGTGGGCGGAGCTACAGTTAGCCAAGCCGTGTACCTAGTTATGGCTTACATAATTTATGGTTTGGTTCGGTCAATGGAACCACATATATGGTCTTCACGTCAGCTAGAGCCAGCTTTAGCTGATTTAAAATTACACAATATATAATCTTATGATTACCTTGGTGTGTCACTCACCCGCATGGTTCTTGCTCACCAGGAATCTGTCAGGCTGTATGGAACTGTTAAGTCATGACAAAGTTGCTTTTGTGCATGTGACCAATCACGTCGCATCTGCTTATTTTTGCAGTTTTCTAAATTTGAGGGACATGTGCTGATGTGGTAGAAATACAGTTGCTGGTCTATTCAGTGATAGCCTGAGATACGTCTATTCTATCTGTGACAAACGAAAGCAAAGAAAAGGAAATATACAAATGATATTTATCTAATGTCCAGCCATTGGATCAGCATGGCTGTTGCTCGAATGAGGATCGACACACTCACTTCCTGCAAACGGTGGGCAACGATTTGGATCAGCATGGCTGTTGCTCGAGCGAACAACGACACAGATCAGCATGGCTCTTGCTCGAACGAGAATCGACAAACTCACTCCCTGCAAACAGTGGGAAATGACATGGATCAGCATGGCTCTTGCTCGAACAAGGATCGATGAATTCACCTCCTGCAAATGGTGGGCATGGCTCTTGCCCGAATGAGAATCAACAAACTCACCTCCTGCAAACAGTGGGCAACGACACGGATCAGCATGGCTCTTGCCCAAATGAGGATCGACAAACTCACCTCCTGCAAACAGTGGGCAATGACACAGATCAGCATGGCTCTTGCCCAAATGAGGATCGAGGAACTCACTCCCTGCGAATGGTAGGCAATGACAAGGATCAGCATGGCTCTTGCCTGAATGAGGATCGACAAACTCACCTCCTGCAAATGGTGGGCAATGACAAGGATCAGCATGGCTCTTGCCTGAACGAGGATCGATAAACTCACCTCCTGCAAACGGTGGGCAACGACACAGATCAGCATGGCTCTTGCCCAAATGAGGATCAACAAGCTCACCTCCTGCAAACGGTGGGCAACGACAAGGATCAGCATGGCTCTTGCCCAAATGAGAATCAACAAACTCACCTCCTGCAAACAGTGGGCAATGACAAGGATCAGCATGGCTCTTGCCCAAATGAGGATCGAGGAACTCACTCCCTGCGAACGGTAGGCAATGACAAGGATCAGCATGGCTCTTGCCTGACCAAGGATCGACAAACTCACCTCCTGCAAACAGTGGGCAACGACGCAGATCAGCATGGCTCTTGCCCAAATGAGGATTGATGAACTTACTCCCTGTAAATGGTAGGCAATGACAAGGATCAGCATGGCTCTTGCCCAAACGAGGATCAATGAGCTCACCTTGTCTGAGACTTCCCATGCTTTTCTTTGGCATACTTTCTCTTCTTTGCCCACTAGCCAGTCGATGGTCCTACTCTTTGCATCGATGGCAATGAGATCGCTGTCTTCCACAAGAGCAATTGGACCACCGAGGGTTGCCTCAGGGACGACGTGACCTGGTAGATCGGAAGTCAGCCTTTGTCTTCAAGTGAAGTTGCGTAAAAGACGCACCAATGATGAAACCTCTGGATGCTCCAGAAAAATGACCATCCATGATTAGCGCAGTCGAGTTGCCCAGCCCAGCACCCATAAGAGTGGCGGTGGGACCTGTGCGTAAAAGGATTAGGAGGACTCTAGGGCTCGTTTAAAATACGACTGTACCCAGCATCTGGAGTTGAATGTGAGCATGCAAGAACTAATATCAAGGATAACATCCAACCTCTGGCATTCCTGGCCCGCCCTTCGGTCCTTGATATCTGAATATCAAGACCATTCCATGCTTGATGTCTCCGCGCTCAAGTGCAGGATAAAAGTCATGCACACTTAAAGATGAAGTATATGAGGCAAGCTAAACATAAGGTTTGGCGTTACACTGTACCTATCAAAGCATTTGGTGACACCCTGAACCACCACAGTATCTGTTAGTCATGACATGGAATCAACAAATAACCATAAATCACCTCAAAGCGCAAACCCTCCTTCCCTGTAAGCTTGGCGACAGTGGTTCCAGGAGCCAAGCTACCTTTGAGAATAGTCAAATGACCAGAGGGTTTAATGGGGTTGTCCAGCTTCTTGATGACGTCTTGTTTATCAAAGTCGAGCTCCGGAACATCCACGAGGTTTTCAGCGAGGGTCTTTCCGGTAACAGTCATCTGGTTACCATCGATAAGATCAGTGTTCTTGAGAAGGTATTTGATGATCGCTGGTATGCCACCAATTTTGTGAATGTCTTCCATATAATACTTTCCAGATGGCCTGACGATGTTTACTGTGAGAGAACGCAATCGAATCATGAATACGAAAGTACTTCAAATCGGCAAGGTATGGAGTCCTGTCTGAAATCATCTGGAAGTTGTCGATAGTCAAGGGAACATTGGTGGCACAGGCTATAGCCAGCAAGTAAAGAACAGCATTTGTTAAGCCACCGAGGACGTTGACGATAGTGATTGCATTCAGGAAAGATTGATGGGTGAGGATATCTCTGGGCTTCAAATCAAGCTCTAGAAGACATTTCATATACTTGGCGACTTTGAAGCATTCCTGTGCCTTCTCTGATACACGAATTCAAAATTTTACATGCAACAGAAGTATTTTCTAACTCACCAGGGTATATTGCTGGTGTGCTTGAGGAGTAGGGAAGAGAAATGCCCAAGACTTCAAGAGCAGAGCTCATGGTGTTGTCCCTAGGACATATGAGAAGGTTCCTGCTTAAAAGCGACAGAACACGTACGTATACATACCACCGCAGGCACCAGCGCCAGGACATGAATGTCTGATGACATCGAATCGCTCCTCATCATTGATGAGGCCAACAGCATAGGCACCTGACTCAAGTTCAAGGTTTGGGGACATTTGGAGCTGGATAACCACCCACCATAAGACTCGAAGGCATATCAACACACTGACGGACTGCGAACAGTGGGTAAGGACTTGGAGTGGATGAAAGCTAATTGAGCGAGAAAAATTTAACATATCAGTATAAGCCACTCGCAAGACCAAATATCAACACACAACATACAGGATCAACATCTCAGAGCTCGACTCACCGAAACAAGCCTCCTGTGTCTGAGATACTCCAAAAATCATCACTCAACACATAGATATTGACGATCAACATTGATCGCAAATCGAAATGGATCCACAGGACAAAGTACATGAAAAATCTCACGCAATGTTTTGACTCAGCTAAATACAAGTAGCTGTATTGCAGTATTAATAGTGCTTGCAAATATGGAGCAGAGCAAGCAGAGATCAAACAAAAAATGAAGGAGTTTTGAAACCATAGACGCGTGAAGACGGGGCATAGACCAACGGAGATGGGGGCAAGAGTGAATGTCGCAGAGGGAACAGACATTGTTGAATGGCCAATGAAGAAATGGCTGCATGCGGTGTTGAAGAAGTTAGGCTGGAAGCGGGAGGGATAATGTGGTGCGTATCTGCGTCTTTTCTCACTTTACAATTAATATCAATATTTATGACCTAGATATAAAGACCAAACCTGCATTATAGATGTGCGGCAGTAGTGGTACTGCACGCTGCCTGTAGATGTGAAGTTCATTCATGTATTAGTATAAATCCCCCCCCCCTCCCCTGGAAAAGCCTACTTCATTGAAATGGAATTGAACTTACGAATAATTTCTATGACTTCGCCCCTGCCTGCATTTAATCTCATGAGTAGCAGCAGTCATAGTCGCGATGACACTTGGGCCTGCACCCAAACACTGGCACCAGCTTGCCAGTGATTTCTACGACTTCGCCCCTGCCTGCACTTAATCCCATGTCCGCAGTAGCAGCTTACTGATGATTTCTATGACTTTGTCCCTGCCTGCACCTAATTCCATGCCCACAGTAGCAGCTGTGGTTGCGGTTGTAGTCGCAGTGACACTTGGGCCTACACCTGAACTGAACTTGCTTCAGTGTCAGTATACCAATGATTTCTACGACTTCATCCCTACCTGCACCTAATCCCATGCCAACAGTAGCAGTGAGCCCCTTCAGTGACAAATTCCGTATTATACGGGCCAGCGGATTATGGGCCCATGTTGTGTATATTCTCGATGATGACGGATGGGCCGGGACACATATTATTTCTGATGGAGATGGGTGGGCCCATGTATGCCAATGATATATATATTCTTGATGTTGACGGATGGGCCGGGGGAATATGATCATTCATGGAGATGGGTGGGCCCATCTGGGTAATATGTAGAGTAGGATATTATAGACAGCTGGGCTGAAGAGAGATGTAAGGCAAATATTGTTATATAGACGGGCGGGCCAACGGGGGTGTATTACATATATGGGTGGGCCGAGGTAGGGGAATATTACATAGATAGGTGGGCTGATGTGGGGTGTATTACATATACAGGTGGGCCGACATGGAAAGTATTACATATATGGGTGGGCCGACGAAAGGGATATCAAATAGACCGGTGGGCCGAGGGTGCGATAAAATATTTATTACATAGACAGGTGGGCCGAGGTGGGGTATAATTATATAGACCGGTGGGCCAACATAGGATATATTACATAGACCGGTGGGCCAACGTGGGGGAATTGTACATAGATGGGTACATATATGGGTGAGCCTAGATATGTTTCATCAAGACATACAGCTGATGTAGCCACCAGTGAATCAAACACGTAGGATACATGTACACTATGAGTGCATATACCTACCATCGACCACCAAATCTAAACCCCTAAGCACAAAAACATGAATCGAACCATGTGTGGCATTGACCAATAATTGAGGACTGAAGTGGAAAAACCCCACACCTGAACCCTGGTGTGCAACATATCCTATTTCTAAGCATGGACACCAGAAGCACAACACTCACAAAAATATATATGTCAAATTTTCAGTGCCAAACCCCAAACCGAGATGTACCAACCCCCGAACCCCAAAATTGTGGACTGCTGGGTCTTGGAGTTCGGGGTTCGGGGGTCCCGGCACTCGGAACTTGGGGAAATTTGGGGAGATCAATAAAATTTGATGTACAATTGAGTTGATTGACAAACACATTGACTTACCCATGTTTGAAATCTATTTTTGTTTACACATACCGAGTTCTGAGTTCCGGACCCCCCAACCCCAAAACCCGAGACCCGGCAGTCCACAATTCTGGGGTTCAGGGGGTTGGTAAAATGTGTATGAATATATGAAAGGTTGAATGAAAGATTTTTGAAAGATGTCTCATATCAAATGTTAAGTCCCAAGTTTTGAATTTTGGGATTCAGGACTCTGGGTTTCGGGACTCAGCACTCCCGAAACCCAGGAAGTTGAAACTCGGGACTTGACATTTGATATGAGACATCTTTCAAAAATGTTTTCATTCAACCTTTCATATATTCATACACATTTTACCAACCCCCAAACCCCTGGAATTGTGGACTGCCGGGTCTCGGGTTTTGGGGTTCGGAGGTCCGGAACTCGGAACTCAGTATGTGTAAACAAAAATATATTTCAAACATGGGTAAGTCAATGTGTTTGTCAATCAACTCAATTGTAAATCAAATTTTATTGATCTCCCCAAATCTCCCCAAGTTCCGAGTGCCAGGACCCCCGAACCCTGAGACCTGAGACTGCCGGGTCTCGGGGTTCGGGGGTCCAGAACTCGGAACTTGGTATGTAGAACAAAAATATATTTTAAACATGGGTAAATCAATGTGTTTGTCAATCAACTCGATTGTAAATCAAATTTTATTGATCTCCCCAAATTTCCCGAGTTCCGAGTTCCGGGACCCCCGAACCCCGAGACCCGGCAGTCCACAATTTCGGGGTTCAGGGGTTGGTAAAATGTGTATGGATATATGAAAGGTTGATTGAAACATTTCTGAAAGATGTCTCATATCAAATGTCAAGTCCCGAGTTTTGATTTCCAGGTTTCAGGACTCCGGGTTTCGGGACTCCAGGCTTCGGGACTCAGCACTCTTGAAACCCGGAAATCGAAACTTGGGACTTGACATTTGATATGAGACATCTTTTAAAAATGTTTAAACCAACCCTTCATATATCCATACACATTTTACCAACCCCCGAACCCCAAAATTGTGGACTGCCGTGTTTCGGGGTTCGGGGGTCCCGGAACTCGGAACTCGGAATTTGGTATGTAAGACAACAAAAATATCTTTCAGGGTTCAGGGGTTAGTGAAATGTTTATAGATATACGTAGGTTAATTCAAACATGTCTGAAAAATTTCGTTCATCTCAAATGTCAAATGCCTGAGTTCCAGGCTTCGGGACTCGGCACCCGGCACCCAGCAGTCAAGGTTGGGGGTTCGGCACTGAAAATTTGACATTCGGGTGTTCAGGTTTCGGGTGATATCTAAATCAACAACTTCGAGTTCTGCCAAAGCGTGAAACTTGAAACCCAGTGTGCAACATGTTGATTTTTCATTTATATCACACAAATCATCGAGTTCCAAGTGCCGAGGGCTGAGACCCGAAGCCCGAGACCCGAAAATATGTACACAACATGTCCATTTTTCACTCACTGCACATATCACCGAGTTTCAAGTGCCAAAGCGTAAAACTTGAAACCCAGTGTGCAACATGTCCATTTTTCATGTACATTACACAATTCATTGAGTTCCGAGTGCCAAGTGCCAAAACCCGAAGCCCGAGACCCGAAAATATGTATATAACATTTCCATTTTTCACTTGTTGCACAAATCACCGAGTTTCGAGTGCCAAAGTGTGAAACTTGAAACCCAGTGTGCAACATGTTGATTTTTCATTTATATCACACAAATCATCGAGTTCTGAGTGCCGAGGGCCGAACCCCAAACCCCGAGACCCGAAAATATGTACACAACATGTCCATTTTTCACTCACTGCACAAATCACCAAGTTTCAAGTGCCAAAGTGTGAAACTTGAAACCCAGTGTGCAACATGTCCATTTTTCATGTACATTACACAATTCATTAAGTTCCGAGTGCCGAGGGCCGAGACCCGAAACCCGAGACCTGAAAATATGTATGCAACATTTCCATTTTTCACTTGTTGCACAAATCACTGAGTTTCAAGTGCCGAAACCCAAAACTCAAAACCCGGTGTGCAACATGTTCATTGTTCATTTACATTACACAGATCATTGAGTGCCAAGGGCCGAATCCAAAAACCTGAAGCCCAAAAACATGTATGCCACATGCCCATCTACTCATTGCACAAATCACCAAGTGTTGAGTGCCAAAACCCAAAACCCGGTACTTCAAATGGACATGGATTCTATATTTGTATGTATTATCCATTGATGTAGGGTTGAAATAACTTGGGAATTGTATTTGTCAGTGCTCGGTACTCGGTAGTTGGTAGTTGGTGGTCGGTAGTCAATATACAATTTTCAGTATCTTGCCCTTGCATCCATGATCCAACCTTTTAATATATAATGAGCATAGCTTATATTCTTGCTTCTTATGACCAAGATCAGCTCACAATAGGCTGGAGTTTGTGAGCTAGTGTGTATACTTGTCATTTCGCCTGATAAGGGGCCCATGCCTTCAAAACATTGAATCTTCATAATCAGAAACCTGGGGTACATTTCAAATATCTTAAGTATCATAGACATAAATTTACAGACAAATCAACCAAGAATTGAGTACTGAGGAAGTGAAATGGGTAAGAAATTGAGTGTGGGAAACTTCAAAGACCCAAAGCATCGAAAATGGTTAGTTGAGCAGTGGTAGGACTTTAATGCTGGGTCAACTCATATTTTCACTATATCCCTTCTACCCACCCCCTACCCTCAGGGCAGTAGGCAGTATGGGTTCCTTGGGTAGTTTACGATCTATCCTACATATTTGTAATGATATTTTCGGCCTGAATCATATATAAATGTGACTTTGTATA